CATAGACTGGAGATTGAAAACTGGAAATCTGGAAATGCTTTGAAACTTAGGATTGTGATGTTGCCTGTGTTGTTGCATTGCATAAGCATCTTTAATTGCTGAAGTATTGTTCTGTTGTTTGCTTGAATTTTGCAGATATTGTTCATACTTGTCTATATTAATTTAGCTTGTGTTTAGGAACATATTGAAAGGGCATTTGTCCGGATGTGTTTTGGTTGATAATTATTTTTTTAGTGTGGTGATCATGAAAGGAGGTTATAACGAAGCTAACAGCAAGGCTTACTACGTGAACAAGAAAAAAATGTTACTTAAAATACATACTGTCATATTTACTATGTTGATTTTATCCCTTATTATCATGAACAAAGGACATAGTCACTTAGAGAAGCTTTATAATTTCTGTTACCATTATTTATGTAAATAAATCACGTCGATATTCTCGACCATCAACTGTGTATTGAATGAATCCTGAGGAAAGTCCCAGTCAGAGAGAAGGCAAAGGTCAGATTTCGCCAACGTGTCTCTCTTTGTCAAAGAGCAGAATTTGGTTCCTGAGCTTAACGAGTATATCTCATATTCAGTTAATGAAGATATAGATATATTGAGAACCAATAGATTTAATAAATTATTAAACTCAGGAAATTATATAAATTATTTAGTGCTTTTGAATAACGATGGGAATATTTTGCATTTGTTTTGGTTGAAAGATTATTTGAGTCAGTACAGAGCAGATGGAGCCTCTGACTGTAAAGAATGATTTTCAGTATGGCAGGACAGGAAGTATCAGTTTAAATATTTATATGATATCTGAACAATGGGCCTAACCCATTGTTTTCCTCTTGTGGAGCACAGTGATTAGAGGAAAAAAGTAGTTCACCTCTAAACATTCCATGGCTAAGTTTGCTTCCTAGGAGGGTAGGGGAGGGGGAAAACAGCAAAAACAATCCCTCCAAAAAAAAAAAAAAAAAATCAAACGCATGAGAGAAACAATGTAATGCTCTGAAATGAAAAGTACTGGGGCACGAACCAAATATTTCTGTCTGAGGGTTGGATTTGCTTTCTAATTAAAAGGTGAAACTACTATGATGCGTCTCTAATTCAGATATAATATATCTTGATATATAATATCAAGAACTAAGGAATTATGGAAGTGGTTGAGGCAAACACTTCTTAAAGAATGAAACTGATAAACTAAGATGAAGCTGTTCAGGACAGATTTGCTGGGGTTGCAGAACTGTAAAGTCTCTCTCCTGGGGCTAGTGTGGCTTTTTTGTGCTTCTATTTCTCTTCTTCTCTTGAGAACACTCTGATTTACTTTTGTGATAAACTCATAACAACAGGGGGATCACATTGCTGAAATGAGTTTAGCTGGAAGGGATACGTAATGTCAGCTGAAAAATAGCACTTGGTAAATATGTTCTGGCCATGGTTCAGCAAAAAGCAGATCCTGTCAGCTAAGCAACATTCTGCTTTCTTGAAAGTGGCTTTTAGTTGAGCAGAATTGTACAGTCTCTTCCCTTTCGCAAAAAAAAAAAATAAAAATACTGATTTGCCTTGGGTGCTGTATATATGTGGTCGTGACCAGGCTAGCATGGATCACTTCAGTTTTCAGTACATTTATTCTCCTGTGTACTCTTGTCATGGGAGAGTGTTATCAGGTGTGGGGATGTGGGTAATGTCCAGGACTACATCTAATACTGTCCTTGGGGTCCTGGGTGAGGAAACAGCCTGTGAGAGTCTGTGTTGTGGGCTGCTCAGCTGGCATCTATTCTGTCTATGCCATCTGCCCATGCAAAGTCAAGGCCCCTCTGAACTGTGAGATCAGAACAAGGGAAAATGAAATAGATAGAAATTGGGAGGCTGGATAAACCATGTCTGCCTTATCCATGTTCTCAGTAGGTGAGTGCTTGGGTCTGTGCTACCTGAACTGGACCGTTTCCGTCTTTACATGCAACACAGAGCCACTGTCATATGGTGCAGACATTTTCAATATTAGAACCTGCACTGAAGCTCCTAAAGCCATGAACAAATTATGGAAATAAGTGTTTCTGCCTGGCCTTCAGGTAGTAGTAACTGGGAAAGTCATTTACTTGTTCTAGAAATGTAAAAATGGCATCCCAAAGTGAACATTCCAGGAGAAATAATCTGGGCTTGTTTCTTCTCAGCCAGCAAATCGGGAAAGCATCATTGTGTAAATACATTGTAAGCTAGAAAATTTTCATGTGAACAGTGCCGTGTTTATGACAGTGTTCAGAATTGCAGTTTTGCCAGAGGAGATGTCAGACAATCCTCCTGTTCTTTCCTCCTTGCTCTTGTTGAAGCACCAAACCATATGGCAAATTAAGCCTGATTTTTATTAAACTTTTCATTGTACTGAGCTTCGTGTGAACTGGGAAATGCACTTTCTTTGAACTATGCAGCCATTATATAAGTATCTTAATTAGGAGAGGTTAATGTTCTTCCTTACATTCCTGGGAGTATTTAGCTCCCTCTTGTGGCTAATTAAACATCTTAAAAGAATCAGACTTTGGAAAATTATTTTTTGTGCCATCACCATTGCTCTTGAACACATGATGGGGTGGTACTTTGAGCATCTCTAACCTGGGCTTCTTATTGGGTAAACAGGTAGGAGAAGGGTCTGCACATACTTGCACCGTGAATGTGGCTGCTTCCTGAAGCTTTAAAAAAAGCTGAATGGACACATCCAGTCAATTTAGAAAGCACTCTGCTGTCTGGTAACTCTGTTGGTCCTGTACATTGTATGCTGAAGAATAGTTCACAGCTAAAGTGGGATGAGAAATGGGATGTGTCGTAGCTCCAAGGAGTACAAATCTTTTGGGTACAACATTGGCATGTCTTGCCATCAAACTCAAGGTTAAGATCTTTGCCAGATTTGGAGTTGATAGGAAATTTTTCCTTCAGTCAAGTTTGCAGGGACCCTTATTACCACTACTATAATTATTATTATTACACTCCTGCCTTTCTATCTAGTGTGGAGGAAGATCTGTATATGATTATCTGGAATTTTTCTGATAAATTCCCTTGCACAGCCCATGATTTGTTTTACTTTCTTTCTGTGGCTTGTTACAACTGAGATCAACAGCTATACTACATCTTAGATTTGTCATAAACATTTAGTAACGTTTGTTGGCTCTGGTGGAAGTGGCTCTTGTGAAGACATCTCTGAATTAGATTTTTGTGCTGGCCTGGGGCTGACTTCAGCCCTTTCAAGCTGCTGCTCTTGTATTGGATGGGAAGCTGCACTTGGAATAAGTCTCAGCAATTAGGGAGGAAGATGTTCAATTCATCTTTTTTTTTTTTTGAGTGCAATGGTCATGACATCGCAAAATCATAAGCATAGCTTGATGTTAATGAAAACACACGTTTTTAGGCTTGATGTAAAAAATACCAGAGATCGGTCAAAAAATGAATTTAAGTAACTTTTCAGTAGGAGCCATTAATTTTCAGTTTCATCACCAAACCTGAAGGTAGAAAGTTACTTTGCCCTTTTGTCACCTGCAGTGTTGTCTGCCTCTGTGTTTTGGCATGACATACTCAAAAATATGTGAGAAGAAAACTGCATACGTTACTGTTTCGGACTTGGAAGGAGGAAGGGAAAAAAAAAAAAAAGGTGAAACGGATTTTTGCTTTGAAATTTCTTCCTTCCCCAAAGGGTTTGAGAATTGAAACTTTATCTCTGAAAATGCTGATTTCCTCTTTCATAACTTGTGGCAATATTCTCTCCATTAAAATAAAGGAATAATGATTATGGAGTTTAGTGAAAATCTCACTGCCCAGTAATCTGCAAACCAGCGTTGCTGAACTGGCAGCAATGGGGCAACAAACATATATTTCCTCGGGGACGTTATTAAACACCCTGCATATTTATTATCTCAAAATGGGAGCAGGGCCAGATTTTTAAGGCCACTTTTTCTCTTCCTCTTCCTGAGCTGTAATTCAGTCCGGCATATAAATATTTGACTTAATATTTCTGCAGAAATGTTAACAGTATGAAATTACTGGAAACAAAAGAACATGAAACAGCGGAGGGGAAGAACGGCTTGGCAATATTGCAGCCTTAAAGGGCAAGATTAATTGATAATCCTTGTAGATTCCAGTGTACAAGTACAAATCTGCAAAGCACGTAGCTTGTACGAAACCTTGTGTAGCTCTGCAAGTTCACGTATGCTGCTGTCACTAATGTGGGGCAGCCTTGAAATTGGATTTTTAGGGATTTTTTTCTTATGGGGAAATAAGGTAGTGATACTAACAAGGAGTTTCCGTACACACGCCTGTGTGTGTGTATATAAAAATTTGGAAAGTGGAGGAATTCCAGCTGTGTGACTAAGCAGAGCCCTGGGCAGGATACCCAGATATTTTTTGTGAGGAAACTTTTCCCTTGGTTTAAAATGCTGGGAAAGGAGGAGTGTAGAAGGGAATGGCGGAGGGGGGGAAACAACCTGAAAGGAGTCTATATTTTAATGACTTTATGATGACTAGTAAAAAAAGACTGATTAATCAAAAAATAATGTCCAATGGCTCTCTGGTATTGTAAGGGTTGTTGTGAAATAAATACGCTTTACTTCACTCAACGGAATATGTCTTTTTCCTTTCTTTTTTTTTGTAAGTTTGTAGCTGCTTCAATTTAACTGAAGAAAAGAAATAGTATTAAATAACATGTCAAATTCTAGACATAGAGTGAATGCAGTAGCAATGGAATAATAGAAACTTTAAGTAGTGATACAGAAGACAGTAAAGATTAGATAGGAACTGGCTAAGGACATGAGTAGCTTTTCCAGGGTTTAACGCCATAATTGCACAGTGTTTTCTGAATGATTGAAACCGTATTTTACAGTTATATTGCCATGAATCATATTTGATAGTTTTGTATTATTGGTAGGGAATATACCTCAACATTAGGTAAAAGATCGAAACAGCTTATGTGTTTTTTTAAAAGTTTTTATAATATGGCCTGAAACTTCGTATTTTCTGCCATGCAGGTCATCAGCAGTGAAGGGACAGAGGGAGCAAAGTTTCGACTCTCTGGTAAGGGAGTAGATCAAGACCCAAAAGGAATTTTTAGAATCAATGACATCAGTGGAGATGTCTCCGTGACCCGAACCCTTGACAGAGAAGCAATTGCCAATTATGAGGTGAGTACTCACAGCAATAGGATATCTGCCTCTATGTTGACAATATATATATTTATTTTTTAATGTGCATTTGCTTTTGAAAGGGCTGCAGTTATTGAAGACTAAATTGCAGATACTGCCCTATAAAATTTCCAGAACTGTTTGTCTGTTGGAAATAGGAAATGTGTTTATTTTTACATGCAATTGAAAATCTGCTCTGCTTTCTGCATGTAATTTCTGTCATTTATCTTTAGTAGAAATACTGTCTGAACATCGTGTAGGATTTTGATTTGTGAGAATGAAATTATGTTTGGACAAAAAGATCTTTTTGGGAAGTTGCCACTAAGGTACTACATGGTTATACTTTTTTATTGTCAAGCTGTCAATGGAATATACTATTCAACTCCATTTTTAGTGCTGGATGTCTTTTAGCAGAGATGAAGAAGATTCTGTTAATATGAAAATGGTAGCAGATACATGTCTTTCAGATGTTTGTCTCCTACAAAGATTTTACTAAAGATTGCTTTCCTTGTCAATAAATGCTGTGTTTCTCCCCGTTGAAATTCTAGCAAATGATCTCTGAAATCTGTAAAATAGCTGCACCACAATGTCCTGAAATGCATAGTTATAAATAGAGGAGCTGTCAGCTAATATTTTCTACCTAGCTCCTGAAACGTGCTGTCACATAAATCGCGTCTGGCCACTTCAATATAGATGAGCGGCAGAATTCAAAATGCAAAATGGTACGTGTGCATGTTGCCACTTCTGCCACAGCGTGGGGAACTGGTGCTGTATCCTCATGCACCAGGGAGCTGTGGTACCCCAGCCCATGCGGGGCACTGGCTCCAGTGGCAGTTCTCACTGCCATCCCTGTCAAGAGGTTTTGTCTTCTGCTGTGTAGGGACCAATACTTGTGCTTTCAATGCTGTTTCTCTCCTCTGGAAGAGTTTGCCAGTTAGATGACTAGTCATACTTGCTCAAACAGCACTGCTAAAATCTACCATATGTTGGTTTTCAACACTTAAACATCTATTTCTCATCCAGGTCTACAGTGAAATGTATGTTAACCACTCGCATGGGATTTATGGTAGTTGCTGATGTCCTTCTTAAAAGAAAAATGTTGCAGTTTCACTTTTTAACACTGTTCCTCATCTTCATTTACCAACTGTTTCTTATTTTATCAGCGGCTTTCCACCTTAATGTGTTCAGTGTAAGCCTTGAATATTTTTTTACTGGAAAATCATAGTAGTTTTTTCAACCTAATGCATCAAACCACAAATGGCCCTCCTATCTGATCTGGCAAAGTATACACTTAGATTAAGACAAAAACATTTCCCTAGAGGAGCCTTTTTGAAGCAATGCAAATTATATACAAATAGAGCAGTGTAGTAGATTATCCAGAGTGATGTGAATGTGTATCCTAATAGGCTGTAGTGCTTCCTAACCTGTTATACAGCACTCTGCTCAGCATGCTCACTGGCATCCTGTTGTGCAAAATGCAGTTGGAAAGTTCTGTAGGAGAACACTCAACTTGATTAGTCTGTCTTTGAATCCAGCCCGTTGTTTTCCAATAAAGATGTATCATGGTGTCAGGAAGGCAGCAGGATTTTCTCCCTGATTTCCTTGGTACACTGAAAGATGAATTACCTGAAAGACCCTTAAATTTCTCTGAAAAGTGTTTTTGTTTTCTGTTTTTGTTTGCGTGCTCCCCCCCACCCCCGCCCTGTGATGCCCGATATTGATGTCTTGAAAGAAAAAGTTCAAAGCAAAGGGCAAACAAGGAAAGAATGGATCTCCATGAAAAATAAAAGTTTTTTGCAAGCTGTCATGTCATCAAGTATATAATGTGTGGTGGGGCAAGGAGAAAAAGATGAAGTCTGTTTGAATCGTTCCAGCTACATAAAGGGCTGCTGTGCATAAGCACTGATTCCCCCCCCGCATGCTTAGTGGACGTGTACTCAGGGATGAAAATTTAAAAAATTATAATAGGGTACAAAATAGAGCTTTAGTGATTACAGTATTTCATAGAACTTTGCAGATTTCACCATCTGTGTACCTCAAAATGTTTTCAATTAGCTAAGAATATTTCATCCATTTTAAAAATTTGTTATTTTTTTCATTGACTGTTTGAAATTTTGCTTTATACTGCCCTCTTTCTCCTGGAGGAATACTGTAGGAGTTTTTCCAAATATTCATTACAAGAAAAACACGATTAAATTAGGAGTACTGAATTCTACTCGGACAACTGTTGATTGTCTGAGTTAATCTCTTTTTTTCTACTGTTTACTTTTAGGTATTTTATTTTTGGTAAAATAAAATATTTTTAAATAGAATGAAAATATCTGTATGAGGGTCAAGGCTTGCCAGTCTATTTGGTGCAGCCCAGTTGCATGGCATTTGAGTTTTCAGATGAGTTTAGATTCTGTTTGTTAGCAAAAGAAACTCAAGCTTCCAAGAGGAATGCCAGGCAGCTACATTAATTACACCTACCTCCTCCCTCCATCCCACCAAAACAGATTTATTTATCCAATTGATTTATGAGTGTTTTTTATGAAATCATTTAAATTGTCAAAAAAATGGACAAGTATGTGAAATTTCACAAAAATATTAATGTTGGGGTGATTAACTGCCATCGTAATTCTGACCTAATCACTTGCACGTTTGAAAATGTAGCAATTTCTACTGAGAAAATGAAACCGTGCTAGAGGAGGCTGAGCGGGACAGCAAAAATCCTGAAGCTACTACATTGATATTAGCCATTAGTAATTTTTTTTTAATCTCAGGTATGGAACTATGCTAATGAAATAGTGTTTGCCGGTGGAAAAAGGTAGATGCTTCTGATGTATTTCTCCCTGTAACTTCATGGGGTGCCTCCTTAAAGGTCAGAGAATTGTCAGTCAGCTTCAGTTTTAAGTAAAAGCTGTTTATGAAGAAGAGCAAGAGGATGTAAGGTTGTTGTTATGCCCAGCAAAGACAGCCTGTTTTAGAAAAGTGTGTAGTAATTCCTTTTTTCTTCTAAAGAGGTGTGACAGAGCATTCTGATAGGCATTCTCTGGATCAGAGTAAACCAGTGGATTTACACTGACTGGTTTTATTTTGGGGCTTGCTACAGCCTGTTGATGAACTACTAAATGATGCTCTGAAGAAGGGGCTTAAGAAGAATATGAGCATATTACTGAATTGTTTCTGGGTTGGTGAGATAAGCAGGTAGCCTAGAGCCTGTATTTAGTAGGAGCAAAAGGTGTTCAGTTGTACAAATTGCTCTCAAAACAATGTCTTTGGTTTTCTCTGAATATTTGAATAAATACGACTAGCTGGAAATTTCAGACAATGGCAAATCATTTATTTAGTTAGTATTGAAAAATGTTGATGTGTAAAAACAGATAAGGAACTTGGTGTAGCGACTTAAGATGGATTTTCTAGTCTAAATCGGTGAGGTGCTCACCATCCAAAAATTGCCAATAATTTATGCAATCCAAATTCACTTCAGATCCATAGTCTTTTCTGATTCTAACAGAGCAGAAACATTAGTGACTTTTCAGTTGCATATTTTAGAAAAAAAAAAAAGTCCTTCTAAAAAGAGCTGCAATGAGGGAACTAAAGGATTCGAATGAGTTTGGAAGTCTAGTTGTGCTGAGTGTTGATAGACTAGTGAATTGTGAAACAAAGGTTTAAACTGGGCCTGTGAATACTGGCTGAAAAACAGTGCTTGTGGGGTAATCTGTTAACTACAAACATTGAGCTCATTTTGGAAACATCACATTTACACAGATAATGTATTCATAGGCAGAATGCTTTCATGCAAGTAAAAGCAGGAAGAGTAGCAGTATTGATTACCATGATCGAGATGACAAAAATCGCCAAGTTAAAGAATTCTGTTTTTTCTCTACTTAAAGTTAGGCAGGCTTAGCAGAAATGGGAACAATACTCCGTTAACTTATTACAGTTAATGCATGAGATTTTGGTGAGGCATTCCTTGGGTACAGGGCAAAGCCTGAAGTTGTATAAATTTGTTTCCCATCACTTCTCACTATATGTAATCCCTGCAGCAGTAAAATCCGGTTCTGTAACCTCTTAAGCATCAGTGGTAAATTGCCAGTCAGTGTGGGGGGGGGGACGACACACTTTCAGTTGGGTCTCAGGATTTTAAAGGACATTGCCATCGTTGATGGGCTGTTTCCTAACTGCTTGCCAAGTGTAAATATGTGTGGAAGAGAAATAATCAGAAAGTGATCCTTTGCAAGCATGAAATGAAGAAGCTCGACAAAATTATTTAGCGACAGTGTGCAAATTAGAGCTGTGACCATATTTACCTAGGCAATTTGAACTGTTAATGAAGAGTTAGTTTTAATTATTTTTTTTTAAGTAGAAAGCTTTATTTGCTTTAGAAAATACTTAACAAGCAGAGGTGTGAAATCAGCTTTCAGCCTTTTTTATAGTGACAGTTCACGCTTCTGTGAAAGGATGCTTTGCAACTGGTAGTGACAGACAGATATTTAGAAAACTTATGTTAACAGGACTTAAAAATCAAATTAGGACTATTCATTTTGTGTAGTATTGTTTATTGAGTAATAAGTAGACTGAGAACAGGCTAGAGAATTCAGACGGATCAACAGCAACCACGTCTCTGGTGTGAACTGCTTTGGTTTAGGTTACATGAGACACTGAGCCAAACGTTTACGCTGATGCTGCAGTCTTAATGGACTCTATTTCTGTGTTTAACATGGAACAAATAATGGAAATGCTTCACAATCATGAGGAAAATCTGCTTGGTCAGGTGCCAAGGAGTACCTTGGGAGAAAGATTTTTAAGTACTTGAATGCATTTTTGCAGATACTGAAAGTATCACTGTAGCAAAAAAAAATAGAAGTGAACAGCTGTAATTTATCCTGCACAGAAGAAAGAATTTGTCTTCTGTGTAAGCCCATTTGAGTGCAACCACATCCTTTTCAGAAAGATTTATCATACCCTGATACTGAAACTGTAATATGCAGTGTGGAGATATATTGACAGCACACAGA